TACTTTTATTAAGGATCTAAGTATCTACAAATTCTAGTTGTGTGTAATCATTTCAGTTCCACTTCCCTACTTCGCACAGACTCATTAAAACATAAAAACCTAGATTTGTTTAGTTCAAAAAACTCCCTCAGGGAAGCTACCACATTACTTTAGATGCTTACTAAACTTCTTGCCAGAACTTGCTTTGTTTTTGGCTCATCTGTGCATGTAAAAGTATGCTTATTGTATTTTTTGCTATGGTTTATGGATCTTCATAATGGGAACATTTTCTGATTATCTAGACAGCCAGATTATCACATAATTAAAAGAACTGGACTTAATCTGTGACCTATCATATAGGAATGAAGTGTAGTAAAATAATACATTAGTTTATTGTTAGCATTAGGTCTAAATATATATAGAAACAAGCCATATATGCCTTATTTTATTATTACATTTTACATCATGCAGCTACTTTCACCAAATGCTTTAAAAGACTGCGGACCTGCCTCAATAAGATGTTCAGTTGATATTTAATAGTTTTTCAAAAATGTCTTTCAACAACTGGGGATTATTTTACTTATAAATTATTGTAAAAAAATTAGTGATTACTACAAATTGTTATTTTTCTTGCAAATGGTTGGAGATAGAAAAAAAAATTGTTGCTAGCCATGAGTATAAGATAGGGATGAAGTATATTAATATCAATATTATTAAAATTGTTCTCTATTTCTCCTGACAAATTCTGAAAGAGATGACTATATGAAACAAATATAGACTCAATTATGAGAGTAATGTGGAAAAGGCAGAGCTAAAATAGAGAAGATAAACAATAATCTTAAATAATATCTTTTCAATACAAGGCACAAATTGAACTTAATACAAACTTAATTCGTTTAAATCACACCCAAAATTTAGGAATACATTTACCATTCTCTAGTTATAAATAACAAAAATAATTCAAATATGATAGGTTATCACATGAATTGCTTCAGGAAGTATAAGTGGAAGATGTATTAGTCCTGTGGTTCTCTTAGCTGAGAACACTTCTCCAGTATTTCATTAGGACTCAAGCAAGGCAAAGACGCAGGCCCTCTTGCATGTTATCTCTTCTCTCTTTCCTCACTTAATTAACTCCACACTCAAATACCTGGCTTTAGTTTGTTTTAGTGACCATGCTTCCCCTACCTCTGTT